CTGCTGTGTCTCTCCCAAGCAAACGGCCTCCCTGCAGCCAGCAAGTCAGCCCCGGAGCTGCAGGGCAGGGGATGCCCCCGCCACCGGAGCTCTCCCAAGTAAGCGGCCTCCCCACAGCTAGCAAGTCGGCCGTGGAACATGGGCCGCTGCCGCTGCCAGGTCTCTCCCAAGTGAGCGACCTAACCACGGCCAGAAAAACAACGAAGAAGCAGTAGAAAGGGAGGCAGAAAAGGGGGGAGATTGTTGGGGGGGAGAGAAACAGGGAGGAGAGGGGGGCAGACTGACAACGGGTGGGGGAAGAGGGGTGAGACATAGAAGGGGAGAGAGAAGAAAGGGGGTAAAAAAGGATTCTTAGAGAAGGGGGTGGGGAGGAGAACTAACATAGAAGGAGTGAGAGGAGGAGGGGAGGGGAGGGAAGATTGATAGATAAGACAGGAGGGAACTTTGACAGAGAAGGGGGGAGAGGCAAGCAAAAGTGGGGGAAATGCCCCCTCCCCGCAAGTTTCTTGCGGGTCTCCCCTTGTGTTCACATATTTGTGGAACACTCTCTCCTAAAAGTATTTGTACATCCTGCTAACACTCTGTTACTATTGTAGACACTGACTGATGAACTAGCCCAAGCCAGAGATGAGAACAAGAAGACCCAAAATGACCTCATCCATACAGAGAACATGCGACAAGGACGTGACAAGTACAAGACACTGAGACAGATCCGACAAGGCAATACCAAACAGAGGATTGACGAATTTGAAGCTATGTAAAAGCACCAAGAAGGCAAGACTCTGGGAAATGCAGATCTTGAATACTGACTTTTCTTTCTGAAGGGTCACTGAACAGACACACCAAATAATATCCCCACAGCCTATTTCTCTTGGATGCTACCTGCTAAGTGTACAGGGGTTGCTGCCAGAGAATATCAGTCAAATCTTGGAAACTTCATATTTGGCCATATCCTAGTGCCAAAAGGCCTTTCTGATTTTGTTGTCCATTTTTAAGATTTGTGTGCTGCTTGTTACACTATTTAACAGGCACTTCTCCTGTGGCAGACACATATAGACTGAAAAAAGTAAATAATAAACCTACTGTTAGTGTGGTGTGCCATGTTTCTTGTTGCTAACCATCACAAAAAAATAGACTGACTACACAGTATATAGGGCTATAAAAGCCTTCAAGGCTGCCATGTAATCTGCCCCCCCCCAAAAAAAAATGTGTAAGTCTGGGAGAAAATAAATTACCACCAATGAATCTACAGACACCACTCCTATATTGGTACATTTGGATAACTTCCTCCTTGTGTCAGAGGTAGGCAGGAATATTGTCTGCCTTTAACCTGATTGAAATGTGGTACTCCAGCTTAACCAATCAGCTGTAGTGTAGTATTTATATACCAATATTAAAATGTAAGTGCAAATATGAATTATAGTTTGAAAAGGGAGGATAAGAGTTTTTGCTTTGTATATTTTGTTACCTCTTTCAGGTTTAATATTAAAAGGATAACATGTTAGAAATAATAACTATTCTTTGCTGCAAAGCCGTGTAGGAAACTGATTACTATCTAGAAAACATTTGTAAAGGTGATTATTTTTTTTTTACTTTAAAGAAAATTGTGATACATGCCTATGATTCAATATATACAATTTCACTGTACCTATTTTTTCTAACAATTTTTGATTTTTTTAAAAAATTATATAGTTTGAGACTCCAAACATGAAGGGACCTGTCAGCTTTTTATTCTCTATTAAAGAGCATTTCTATGGATTTTCTCCACCACTTTATCCATATTCGTGTTCATCTCCAAAACAATTCCCCCTTAAGAGTCTGGAAAACTGCTAGAACACCAGAGTATGGTATTAGTTTGGTTCTACATAAAACTCCTTATGATGCTTTGTACCCTTAAAGTTTAAACCTTCATATCAAGTGTTATGGGATTTGTTTGCAATTCACCAACAAATAAAAAAATCTGCAAGGCAACAGGATTTTGAAGTTGCATGATTTCTTCCTGTCCTAAGAGTCGTTTCTCTTTCAAATTATTGCAGTACATGTATACACACTGTCTCATAAATACTGACAATATTTAATAGTGGGGGGAAATAGTAAATAACAAAACTCATCTAACCACTTTAAAGCGGGAATGAGGGAGTAGAATGGCTGATCAAGAATGATCTTTGGTAAGGAAGGGCAGTTCTTACCCTTTACTGGCTCTTTTCAAAGAAACTGGTGAACACAAAGATCAACTTTCCAAAAGTTCAGGGGTGGGCACAGGTATGCTGTTCTAGTGCCAAAATGTTTGGCTAAAGTTGGATGTATCATTTGTAAATGTTGGTACATAGCTTTACAAATTTTTAAGATTCATGCTTATATAAATGGATGGTAGTATTGTGTCATACCTGAATTCCAGATTGTTCAATAAAAATGCTACCAAATAGTATAGAAATACAAAGAAAAGACTAGTATTGAAGAAAGGTGCAAACAACTATGGAAGAAAATAATGGGCCTAGCCTACTTCCACACTTATATGAGACTAGCCGTAAAGCCCGTTGAGGAGGAAGACAACGGGCCCTAGAAAGGTAGGATGGGTGGGTGGGCCATGGGTTGGGGGGGGAGCCGGCGGACCGTTCGCCGGCCTGGAGTGTGGGGGGAAGCCGGGG